GGTTTGCCTAGTTTGAAACCGTACCCTGTGTGAAGCTCAAGATGGATTCCTCTTAATCATAGAGAAGACCAGGTAAAATTTGCTGTGCTGTCCTTTGTTCTATGGTGCTCTCACCTTATTACCAGACTTCCTTGTGCTTGCCTTCCCTCTCAGGTCCAGATATGCAAGTAGTCTTCTTTTCTTACTTATTACATAATAATTGTACGTATTTATGGGGCATATGTAATAATTTGATACATGCATACAGTATGTAATGATCAAATCAGGGTATTTATTATATCCATCACTTCAGACATTTATCATTTCTTTATGTTGAGGACATTTCAACCCTTCTAGCTGTTCTGAAATATACAATAAATTATTGTTAACTATAGTCACCCTATTGTGCTTTTGAACACTAGAATTCATTCCTTCTCTCTAACTTCATTTGCATACCCATTAACGAACCTCTTTTCATTACTACCCTATCCTCAAACCCTTCCCAGCCTTTGGTAACCATCATTCTACTCTTCTTTTTTCTTTTGAGATGGGGTCTCACCTTGTTGCTCAGGCTGCAGTGCGGTGGCATGATCTCAGCTCACTGCAACTTCTGCCTCATGGGTTCAAGTGATTCTAGTGCCTCAGCCTCCCAAGTAGCTGAGATTACAGGCACCCACCATGCCAGGCAAATTTTTGTATTTTTAGTGAAGATGGCATTTCACCATGTTGGTCAGGCTGGTCTTTCCTGACCTCAAGTGATTCACCCAACTCAACCTCCCAAAGTCCTGGGATTACAGGCATGAACCACTGTGCCAGGCCTCATTCTACTCTCTACCTTCAGGAGATTAGCTTTTTTAGCTCTCACATGTGAATGAGAACATGTGATATCTGCCTTTCTGAGCCTGGCTTATTTCACTTAATATAGTAACCTCCAGCTCTATCTTTGTTGCTGCAAGGAACAAGATTTTATTTTTTATGGCAGAATAGTATTCCCTTGTGTATGCATATCATATGTGTGTGTATGTATGAATGTATGTATGTGTGTGTGTATACACACACACACACACACACACATATATACACACACACACACACATGCTTTTTTTTTGAGGAAGGGTCTCATTCTGTCACCCAAGCTGGAGTGCAGTGGCATGATCATGGCTCACTGCAGCCCTGACCTCCCAGTCTCAAGCCACCCTCCCACCCCAGCCTCCCAAGTGGCTGGAACTACAGGCATGTGCCATCATGCTTGGATAATTTAAAAAATTTTTCTTTCGTAGAGACAAATCTCACTATATTGCTCTGGCTGGTCTTACACTCATGGGCTGAAGCGATCCTCCCATCTAAACTTCATAAGGTGCTGGGATTACAAGGCATAAACCACCAAGTTCAGCTCCACATTTTCTTTATCCATTTATCTGGTTATGGACACTTAGATTGATTCCATATCTTGGATATTATAAATAATGCTGCAGTAAGCATGGGGTGCAGGTATTCCTTTTATATACTGATTTCCTTTTCTTTGGAAAAATATTGAGTAGTGAGATTGCTAGATTGTATGGTAGTTTTTTAGTTTTATTTATTTTTTCTTTTTTGGAGAAACCTCCATGCTGTTTTCCATAATGATTGGTTTAATTTACATTCTCACAACAGTGTATAAGAGTCCTCTTTTCTCTGCATCCTCACTAGCGTCTGTTATTTTTTGTCTTTTTGATAAAAGCCATTCTGTGTGAGATGAGATGATATTTCACTGAGGTTTCACTTTGCATTTCCCTGATGATTAGTGATATTGAGCATTTAAAAATATATATATATATATCTGTTGGCCATTTTTATGTCATCTTTTGAGAAATGTCTATTTAAATTCTTTGCCTGCTTCTTAATGGGATTATTTGTTTCTGTTTTTGTTTTTGTTTTTGCCATAGAGTTGTTTGAGTTCCTTGTATTTTCTGAATATTAATCCTTTGTCACATGTATAGTTTGCAAATATTTTCTCCCATTCAGGATGTTGTCTCTTTAATCTGTTGATCATTTTCTTTGCTGTGCAGAAACTTTGTAGTTTTATATAGCCCCATTTGTCTATTTTTGTTTTTGCTGCCTGTGCTGTTAAATTCTTAGCCATAAAATCTTTACTTGGACCAATGTCCTGAAGCATTTCCCCATGTCTTTTATAGTTTTGGATCTTACTTGTAAGTCTTTAGTACATTTTGAGTCAATTTTTGTATATGGTGAGACATATGAGTCCCACTTCATTTTTCTGCATATGGGTATCCAATTTTCTCACGTATGAAGAGGCTGTCCTTTTCTAAATATGTGTTCTTGGCATCTTTGTCAAAAATCATTTGGTTGTAAATATGTGGCTTTATTTCTGGGTTTTCTATTCTGTTTCATTAGTCAGTGTGTCCGTTTTTCTGCCAATACCATGTTGTTTTGGTTACTCTAGTTTTGTAGTATATTTTGAAGTCAGATAGTGTGATGCCTCCAGCTTTGTTTGTTTCCTTGGGATTGCTTTGGCATTTGGGTTCTTTTGTGGTTCCATAAGAATTTTAGGATCAGTCTTTCTAATTCTATGAAGAATGACATTGGTATTTTGATAGGGATTGCACTGAATCTGTAGATTGCTTTGGGCAATATTGTCATTTTAATGATGTTAATTCTGATCCATGAGGATGGGATGTTTTCCCATTTTTTGATGTCCTTTTCAATTTCTTTCATCAGTGTTTTGTAGTTTTCCTTGTAAATATCTTTCACCTCCTTGGCTAAATTTGTTACTACATACTTTTTTTTGTAGCTGTTGTAAATGGGATTGCCTTCTTGATTTCCTTCTCAGCTAGGTTGTTATTGGTACGTAGAAATGCTACTAATTTTTTGTACGTTGATTTTGCTTCCTGCAACTTTATTGAATTCATTTACTAAATCTGAGAGGTTTTTTTTGGTGGAACCTTTAGTTTTTTCTAGGTATAAGAACATATTCCTATTATCTAATTTGGATGCCTTTTATTTATTTCTCTTACCTGATTGCTCTGGCTAGGATTTCCAGTACTATGTTGAGTAGGAGTGATGAAAATTGGCACCTTTGTCTTGTTCCAGTTCTTAGAAAAAAGGTTTTCAGTTTTTCCCCATTCAGAATGATGTTAGTTTTGGGATTGTCATATGTGGACTTTATTATGTTAAGGTATATTCGTTCTATGCCTAATTTGTTGTTAGTTATTATCATGATGGGCTGCTGAATTTTATCAAAGGTATTTTTGCATCTATAGAGGTGATCATATGATTTTTGTCCTTCATTCTGTTGATGTGATATTTCATATTTATTGATATGTGTGTCTTGAACATCCTTGTATCCCTGGGATAAATCCCACTTGATCATGGTGTAGTATCTTTTTGATGTGCTGTTGGATTCAGTTTGCTAGCATTTTGTTGAGGATTTTTGCATCTATGTTCAGTAGTAGAGATATTGGCCTGTAGTTTTTGTTATTGTTGTCGTTGTGTCCTTGTCTGATTTCGGGATCAGGGTAATGTTAGCCTTGTAATGACTTAGGAAGCAATCCATCCTCTTCTATTTTTTTGAAATAGTAAGAGAATAAATGGTGTGTATTTTTCTTTATAGTTTGGTAGAATTCAGCAGTAAAGCAATTCAATCCTCAGCTTTTCTTTATTGGGAGGCTCTGTATTGCTGATTTGATCTTGTTACTCATTATTAGTCTGTTCAGGTTTTATGTTTTTCCATGATTCAATCTTGGTAGGTTGGGTTGTATGTGTCCAGGAACTTCCCATTTCCCCTAGGATTTCCCATTTGTTAGTGTACTTTAGTTGTATCTCTGTGGTATCACTTGTAATGTCTCCTTTTTCTATTCTGGTTTTATTAATTTGGGTCTTCCTTTTTTCTTAGTCTAATAAAAGTTTTGTCAGTTTTATTTTTAAAAAAAACTACTTTCGGTTTCATTGATCCTTCATATTTTTTTAGTCTCCATTTTGTTTAGTTTTGCTTGAATCTTTATTATTTCTTTTCTTCTACTAATTTTGGGTTTGAATTCTCCTAATTTTTCTAGTTCTTTGAGGTGCACCTCTAGGTTGTTTGTTTCAAATCTGCCTTTTTTTAATGTAGGCATTTATTTCTGTAAAATTCCATCTCAGCACTGCTTTTGTTGTACCAATACCATAGGTTTTGGTATGCTGTGTTTCCACTTTCATTCATTTCAATAAATTTTTTGACTCCTTCTTAATTTCTTCATTGGAGCATTAGTCATTCAGGAGCAAGTTGTGTAGTTTTCATGTATATATACAGCATTCAAGGTTCCTCTTGCTATTGATTTCTAGTTTTATTCCATTGTGTTCTGAAAAAATGCTTGATATGAGTTCAGTTTTTAAAATTTGTTGAGATTTGTTTTGTGGTCTAACATATGGTCTATTCTGGAGGATGCTCCATGTGCTGCTGAGGAGAATTATATTCTCCTGTATATATATTCTGCAGTTATGGGGTGAAATGTTCTGTAAGGTCCGTTTGGTCTAAAGTGAAGTTTAAATCCAATGTTTCTTTGTTGATCTTCTGTCTAGATGATTTGTCTAATGCTGAGAGTGGGATGTTGAAGTCCCCAACTATTATCATATTGGGGTCTATCACTACTTATAGATCTAATAATATTTGCTTTATATATTTGGTGTTAAAGTGTTGTGTGCATATATGTTTAGAATTGTGTTTCATAATGGTAGATATTATTTTTTGCTTCCAGATACAGGACTCCCTGAAGCATTTCTTGTAGGGCTAGTCTAGTTGTGATAAATTTCCTGTTTTTGCTTGTCTGGGATACTTAATTTCTTCTTCATTTTTGAAGGATAGCTTTGCTGGTTGTAATATTCTTGTCTGACTTTTTTCTTTCAGTTCATTGAATATATCATCCCATTCTTTCTTGGCCTGTGAAGTGTCAGCTGAGAAATCCACGTTAGTGTGATATGGATTCCCTTACATGTTACCTGATGCTTTTCTCTTGCTGTTTTTATAATTCTGTCTTTGTCCTTAGGTTTTGACAGTTTGACTATGAAGTACTTTGCAGAAGACCTTTTGGGGTTGAATCTATTTGAGGATATTTGAGATTCTTGTATTTGGATATCTATATCTCTTCAAGACCTGGTAAGTTTCTATATTTTGTTAAATAGCTTTTCTATGCCTTTGCCCATCTCTTCTTTTGGAGCTCCCCCAATTTGAATATTTGGTCACTTTATGCTGTTTATATGTGCTTTTCTTCATTCTTTTTTATTCTTTACTCTTTTCTTTTTTTGGGGGGCAGTGTCTGACTTTGTTATTTCAAAGAACTGTCTTTAAGTTTAGATATTCCTTCTTCTGCTTGATCTAGTATATTGTTGAAATTCTCAATTGTATTTTTAAATTTTATTCATTGAGTTCTTCAGTTCCAGTATTTCTCATTAGTTCTTTTTCAGCATATCTTTCTCTTTGTTGAATGTTTTGTTCAGATCGGGAATTGTTTTCTCCTGATTTCTTTGTATTATTTATCTATGTTCTCTTGTATGCCCCTGAGCTTCTTTAGCATCATTATTTTTAATTCTTTTTCAGGCATTTCATAAATGTCCAATTTTGGTATCTGTTACTGGGTAATTATTGTGTTCCTTTGGAGGTGTCTTGTTTCCTTGCTTTTTCATTTTTCATGTTTCTTATATAAGGATACAAGATTTCCTTGCTTTTTCATGTTTCTTATATAAGGATGCAAGATGCTGATATCTGCATATCTGGTATAACAGTTGTCTCTACCAATTTTATGGATTGGTTTTCTTAGGTAAAGACTTTTTCCTGTAGATGTATCTATATTATTGGTTGGGTAGGGTGATTTGGCTTTGATTGTGAGTTGGCACAGCATTATAGTTTCTATATGATTTCTTCATTTGTAATCAGTGTTAGTGGTGTTTGTCAGTTCTTCGGTGGGCTAGGCTGTGATTGTTAGTAGAGGCTGTGGCAAAGCTTTGCTGGGGATGGGGATTCCAAATAGTTCAGTCTTGGGTACCAGTGGTGGAAGTAGCAGGTTGGGTGTGCAGATCCGTGGCCCCCAGCTGGTGTGCCAGGTGCCAGTGGTGGCGTGTCTAGGTGGGCTGGTCCTTGGGGCTCCAGGCAGCTTGCTTGGGTGCTAGCAGTGGGCCAGGCAGGTAGGTGGGTCCTCAGGCCCGTTGGCAGTGTGTGTTGGGTCAGTGGTGGTAGTGGCAGTGGTAGGCTAATACTGAGGCCCTTGAATATCATGCACAGGTGCCAGTAGTGGCATGAGAGGGCTAGGTGGGCCAGTTTCCAGGACCATAGGTGGTGCATTCAGGTATGTGCCAGCAATAGTGGCAGCAGCAGGTTGAATGGTCCAGTACTTCGGTTTTTGGGAGGCAGGCATAGTCACCAGCAATAGAGGGATGGGTCTATCTTCGGCCACTGGACAGAGTACATGGGCAGCTGTAGTGGTGTGGTGGGCCTATCCTCAGGCTACTGTAAAGTGTACATGGGTGCCAGTGGTGGAGGATGGCAGGAGTTGATCTCTCAACTCTTGGGTAATGTGCTGGGGCTCCGAAAGCAGTGGCAGTGGTGGTGGGCAGGGTGAGTTTGCCCTCAGGCCCCTCAGACAGTGTGTGTGGGTGCCAGCAGTGGCAAGGGGGATGAGTTGATCCCCAGGCCTCTGGATGACATATGCAGGTACCTGTGGTGGTGGCTGGAAGTAGGGAGGGTCTGTCCTAAGGCCCCCAATGGGGTGCACAGATGCTTGCTGTGGTAGGTAGGATACACAGTGGTATTTTAAATTTTATTTCATTTTTGGTATATTTGCTGAAACACTCATTTGTTCATTTGTGCTTTTATCACCTAGATCACATATTCAGAGTGGAGATGACTCAAGATCTCCAATTTCTTTCATTGATTTCTGGTAGACTTGGGTGTAGGTTCCTAGGGATGAAGATTTAATGTAACTGCCTATCCGACTATGAATCAAATTCTGTTTCATGATTCACAACTTGAGTCATCAAATATTATTTTTGGCAAGTCAGGGATATTCTATAGATGTTGAAAACAGACTTCATAGTTAATACATACTAATTGTGCTGATAGAAATGGCTTTATTGAGAATTTATTACTTGCGTGTTAGATGTTAATGCAACTGAAAATTAGCACAGGTAGCAAATTTGGCTCAAATAAAGGTAAGAAATTTTATATTAAATATGTATTCATATTTGTGTATTTGTGTATGTATGCTCATGCAAATATATATGTATATGGTTGAATCATGTGAAATTACAGCTTCTTTAGTTCAAAAATAGACAAATGTCAGCAATATCATATGTTTCATATATGTATTTTTTATATATTTCAGATTTTAGCTGCCTTATGAAAGCAATAGCAAAGATGTCTAGTTTTCTTTTTTCTTAAAAAGAGGAACAATCAAACGAGTCACTTGGGTCCTAAAACAAAATTTTCTTTACAGTTGTCCCTCAGTATCAGTGAGAGATTTGTTTCCAGGATCACCTATGGATATCAGAATCCATGGATGCTCAAGTCCCTTATATTAAATGGTGTATTTTCATATAAGCTATGCACATCCCACTGTATACTTTAAATCATCTTTATATTACTTATAATACCTAGTGCAATGTAAATGCTATGTAAATAGTTGTTATATTGTTTAGGGAATAATGAGAAGAAAAAAGTCTTTATGTGTTCAATGCAGACACAACCATCATTTTTTCCCTGAATTTTAAAAATTCATAGTTTGTTGAATCCATGAATGCAGTACCCATGGATACAGAACCCATGGATACAGAGGGCCAAATATATATATATAATATTTTAATCTTGGGGAATGGTGGGCAAAATACTGTAATAAGAATGTCCTGTCTCACAGAAAACTTAGAATGCTTTTGTCCTTCCTCTAGTTAATTCTTTCAAGGTCAGGGCATATCTATCCATGAAGGCTGACATCACCATTCTAGTTCACAGTGTGAGATTTTTCCCACTGAACTTAGTGATTTTTCCTTTGCTACCATTATTTTAGTAACTCTGTATTACCTTGTTTTTAAATAAATTATAAACTCCTTGGGAACAGAGACCATACCTTATTTCTCCACAGCCCTGCAGGATCTGTTGATTTGACTGAGCATTTGACTTGAAAAGCATCCCAAATAGGATTTAATTACCTAAGTCAGTGGAGTGATAAGGAATGACAGAACACAAAAAATGATGCATCTTGGGAAATCAATCAGAGATCATCCTGCTTTCAGGAATTTACAGTCTCCATTGGGAGACAGTGCAGAAACTCATGAGGGGTTTAGTGAGGTGAAATAATCCGTATTGTAGGTTCTCTTAATTGTTCTATTTCTAGCAGAATGGTAAGAAGAAGCTTAATCTGCCATATTGGATGTTCTCTGGCTAAATTGAGTGTAACAATCTTCATCTATTGATTTTAGTATGGCACTGATAATGTTTAACTGGTAAATAATAAAAGTCTGCCAGTTACCTAGTTTGTGCACTTATATTGATAATAGGGTGGCATTTTCTTTGTTAGATGAATTCAAAGATATATGTAAATAATCTACAAATATAAAATCCAATTTTTAATATGTTCTAATGTTTAACAACACTATCTTCAACAAAATACCCCCATATCTCAAAACCCATGACAATTTTTATCACAGCTCAGGAAAGACCTTAAGGTAATAAATGACAATATTTCAGCTAACACTTTTTTCTTCTTTTGTCCTTTCTATTTTTTTAAGACAACTTAGTGCCCTAAAGAAGAAGAAAGATAATGGTTCGCAATCAATGCTCATGGACCAGACACCTAATCTGAACTTAACCAAAAAGTCAATATTTAGCTGTACCTTATCAGCGTGGAAATGTCAAGCATAGCAGAGGCACGAACAAATTTCGAAGTGATTTCTCTTTTTTTTATGTTTCCGTGTTCACAGCTATGTGGAAGCATTTCAACATCAGATAAGACAAAACGGCCTTTGGGAGAAAAAAAAAGACAGCAAATTACAATACTTGCACTTGCCGAAACCACAGTTTATGAGAGGAAAGCAGACGCTGAAGATGCATTCTATTCTCTCCTAGCCCATTCCCTGGGTCACCTTCCTGCCTGTGTGATGCTAGCCCTTAATTGTTACCCACAGCTGGCAGCCTTTAAGAGACAGATATGGTGAAATGTCTCCTTGCTGAGTAAAGTCATAATTTGTTGCCACCCAACATAATTGACACAAATCATTTGCATTCTAAATTTCCATGCCTAGGAGTAGATATATCAAGCATGACTAGAAGGACTGTGGGTCTGCGAAACAGGAGCTTCACCTGGATTTCCTGGAAGTTATGGCCAGTTAATGTAGAGAAAGAGGTTTTCAAAATTGCAAGAATTTCAGGACCTTTGTCAGAATTCCACCTCACTCCACAGGACTCCAGCTAACCTCACCCACATAACTGGTGTTGAAAGTTTTATTTTGTTAGAAAATAGTGTTACACTGGAAAAACCTATGCTGGTACTCACATTTAATGGGATGGTTGGACTGTCTGTCAGCAATGAAACATTTGGTTATGGAAAAAAGGAGACAACACAAGAAAGACAGGTGATGATTTAAATGGATAAATATGCATTATTGCTAACTGACTTTTTAAGGAATTGTGGGTGGCCTTGACATAACAGGGAACATGAACATGGAGATCTGAAAAATAGTGATGGAGAAAACATCATTTCATTTGGGACTACAACTAGAAAGGACCTATGTGAACTAGATTCACAGAACAGTGAGTCATAGAGTTCACAAAGGCCAGTGACCAACCATTTCAAACTATGTATATAGTAAGAATCATGTAGGTGCTTGTTAAAAATGCAGATTCCTATGGCCTTCCCTCTGGAGATGCTGATTCAGGGTGTTAAAATACTTCATGCAGAGGCCATTACACTGGGGTGGCTCCATTGCTCTGGGTTTCTACTAAACAGACTGAAACCCAACTCAGTGTTAACAGGAAAACAACCAATCAGAAACTGCCAACTTACCTCTAGTGGGGCTTTCTACTGGAATCATTCAAATAAGGATACTGATCCACTTTAACCGATAAAATATTTTATTTGCCTTGTTTCATGCATTCACCCTAAAAAGCTTTCTCCTCCTGCCCCTTTGGTGGAGCCCTTTAACTGCTTGTGGTCTGGAGCTGCCCAATTCAGGAATCACTGAATGCTCAAATAAATTGTAATATTTTAATGTGCCTCAGTTTATCTTTTTTTTTTTTTTTTGAGACAGGATCTCACTCTGTCATCCAGGCTGGAGTGCAGTGATGCAATCACGGCTCGCTGCAGCCTCAACCTCCCAGGCTCAGGTGATCCTCCTACCTCAGTCTCCCAAGTAACAGACCACAGGCACGGGCCACACACCTGGCTATTAAAAAAATTTATTTGTAGAGATGGGATCTCCCTATGTTGCTCAGGCTGGTCTTGAACTTCTGGGCTCCAGCGATCCTCTTGCTTTAGCCTCCCAAAGTGGGATTATAGGTGTGAGCTCCTGGCCTCAATTTGTCTTTCAACATGGAAGACTGTGGTGGGAACTGGAAACCTGTATTTTTTTTTTTAAAACAAGATCTTTGGAGTTTTTATCATCAGGCAGATATGGAAACATTGCTGTAGGTACTCAGAAATGAGATGAATGAATGAAAGACAAAAAAAAAAAAAAAAAAAAAAAAAACAACATAATGAGGATGCCAGAAAGGCAGTCCCAGCCCCTGATTTTGCTACATGTTCCAGCAGTGTGCCGGGGCTCCTGACCTTGTACAGTTAACTCCCAGATGTGGGAGAAATGGCCTTCAGAAGCAGCTGATAAAGGTTAGGTTTTCAAATGTCACATGGAATAATGCTCCTTCCCCTTTGTCCCGTGTTGGAATGTCATAGTGACATAAAAAGGAAGACTATATCCTTAAGTTAAATGAATGGTAAGTGTTAAAAACAGAAAGAACCCTGTTTAAGTCTCCCTTAGGAAGAAATCTTTTTCTTTGAGTCTTTCCTGCCACCAGACATAAATCCACCTGGTGTAAACCATCATCCCTCTTTAATCTGTCCATAAAGGCACAAAGGAGAAGTGGTGTTGAGAGAAGTATTCTGATCTCCATGTGGACAGTGCAACTAATAATTTCTGTACTATTTGACAACAACCTAGTTCTTTCTATTCTGTTTTTGTTTTGTTTTGTTTTGTTTTTAACTTTGTTTGGTCTCCAGGGGAATTGTTTAATACACTCTATGGCAAATGGGAAGGATATCTCTCCATACAATGTATAATACCTTGTTACAGTGAAAGCCTCAGAAATATGGGAGCTGAGGGGATGGACTGGAATGAGAGAAGGGTAGAATCCATATCTTTGTGCCACTGTAAGATCCTCTAGTTGAGTATGGGCACATGACAGGCTATGGGAGTGGACTGAGAAGACCCAATCACCCCCTTTGTTCAGATTTTATGGCTGCCCATCATCGTCATGGGGCTAATTTAGAGTCATTTAATTTCTGTAGAGGAGAGAATAGACAACACAGGACAAAAAGGCCTCAGTGAATTTGCTGGAACTTGTCATGCTCTAACTTTGTGACTTAGTTAAAGATTTAATGTGTATTGTTATGGGAGGAAAGTCAACAAACCAGAATTAAGGAAATTTGCAGGATCATCCACTAGTGGTTCTTAAACTTTGCTGCATATTAGAAGCACCTGGGGAAGTATAAAATACACAAGTACTCAGGCCTCTCCCCATACCAAGGAAGTCAAAATTTTGGGGGGTGTGATCCAGGCCACACTTTTTTTTTAAGTTTCCAAGGTAATTCCAACGTATCACCCAATTTGAGAATCGTTGATTTTCTAGACTGATCATATACTCTGGATCTTTTCTAGTTGTATATTATTCCTTTTACCTGAAATGTTCCTTCATCCTTTCTTCAGGCAAAGACCTGCTAATCTTTAAAAAATTCACCACAAAGATACCTTCCATTGATAGAGTTAGTTCATTCATTCAATAAATATTTGCTGAAAGTTGGTGTTGCTTCCTTCTCCATGGCACTAGCACTTAGTAACAACACTTCATTAATTTTAGTTATTTGTTATTATTACTTTTTCTTCTACAGCCTCTGACTTATTTGAAGCCAGGATTGTAAAGTATTCATCTTTGACTTTTGTAGTACATTTCCTTTCTTTTCCCCCATTTTCCCACATCCCCGGCTTGGGAATCCTAGTCTTACAAACATTCTTTGTTGAATAATTATGAGTTTTAAAATTTTATTATTTTTATTCGTACAACTTTATGGGGTATATGTGAAATTTTGTTGCATGTATATAATACATACTGATCAAGTCAGGGTATTTAGGGTGTTCATCACCCAAGAACAAAACATTTTTATTAAGTAGAATCACCCTACTCAGCTATCAAACATTGCTTTTATTCCTACAATCTTACTCTATGTTTACCCTGTACCCTTTAACCCACTTCTCTTCATCCTTTCCCTTTACCCCCAATCACTCTTCCTAGCATCTGTTATCTATTTTTCCCTTCTCTATCCCCATGTGATCAAATTTTTTAGATCCCACATATAAGTGAGAACGTGTGATATTTATCTTTTTGGATAAGTATTTATGTGTACAAATATATGTGATATTTATCTATTTCATTTAAGATAATTACCATCAGTTCCATTCTTGTTACTGCAAATGACATGATTTCATTTTTTTTTTTTTTTTTTTGAGACGGAGTCTGGCTCTGTCGCCTGGGCTGGAGTGCAGTGGCCGGATCTCAGCTCACTGCAAGCTCCGCCCCCTGGGTTTACGCCATTCTCCTGCCTCAGCCTCCCGAGTAGCTGGGACTACAGGTGCCCGCCGCCTCGCCCGGCTAGTTTTTTGTATTTTTTAGTAGAGACGGGGTTTCACCGTGTTCGCCAGGATGGTCTCGATCTCCTGACCTAGTGATCCGCCCGTCCGGGCCTCCCAAAGTGCTGGGATTACAGGCTTGAGCCACCGCGCCCGGCCGATTTCATTTTTTTAATGACTGAATAGTACTCCATGGTGTACCACATTTTCTTTATTCATTCACGCACTGAGGGACATTTAAATTGATTCCAGGCCTTTCTATTATGAATAGTGCTATAATAAACATGTGAGTGCAAGTACGCTTTGATACCCTTTTCCTTTGTGTAGATACCTAGTAGTGGGATTGTTGGATGTAGTGGTAATTCTATTTTCGGTATTTTGAGAACTCTCCATATTGTTCTTCATAGTGGCTGGACTAGTTCACATTCCTACCAACTGTGTATAAGAGTTCCCTTTTCTCTGCATCCTCACCAACATCTGTTATTTTTTGTCTTTTTAGTAATAGCCATTCTGACTGGGGTAGGATGATATCTCCTTTTGGTGTTGACTTACATTTCCCTAATGATTACTGATGTTGAGCATTTTTTCATATACCTATTGGCCATGTGGTATGTCTTCTTTTGAGAGATGTCTATTCATATCCTTTGCCCACTTTTTAATGGGATTATTTGTTTTTTCCTGTTGTTTGAGTTCCTTGTATATTTTGGGTATTAGTCTCCTGTCTGATAGTTTGCAAATATTTTCTCTCATTCGACAGGTTGTCTGTTCACTCTGTTGATTATTTCTTTTGCTGTGCAGAAGCATTTTAGTTTAATTAAGTCCCATTTGTCATTTTTGTTTTTGTTGCCTGTGCTTTAATGTCTTAGTCATAAATTTTTTGCCTAGATCAATGTCCAGGAGAGTTTTCCCCTAGGTTTTTCTGCTAGCAGTTTTATAGTTTGGGGTCTTATATTTAAGCCTAAAGGCTTAAACAATCCATTTTGAGGTTTTTTTTTTTGTATGTAGTGAGAGATATAGTGGTTCAGTTTTATTCTTCTGCATGTGGCTATCAAACTTTCTCAACACCGTTTATTGAACAAGATTTCTTTTCCCCAGTGTAATTTCTTGTCAGCTTTGTCAAAGATCAGTTGTTTGTAAATATGTGACTTTATTTCTAAGTTCTTTATTCTGCTCCATTGGTTCATGTGTCTAATTTTATACCAATACCAGGCTGTTTTAGTTACCATAGTCTTATAATATATTTTGAAGTCAGGTAATGTGATGCCTTCAGATTTATTCTTTTTGCTTAGGATTGCTTTGGCTATTCAGGCTTTTTTTTTTCCTTTGGTTCCACATGAATCTTAGGAGTCTAGTCACATTCTAATTCTGTGAAGAATGGCATTGGTATTTTGATAGGGATTGCACTGAATCTGTAGATTGCTTTGGGCAATATGGTTATTTTAAATAATATTAATTCTTTCAATTCATGAACATGGGATTTTTTTTGTTTGTTTTTTGGTGTCCTCTTTGATTTCTTTTTTTTTCTCCTTTTTCTTTTTTTTTAAACTCCTGCTTTGTCACCCAGGCTGGAGTGCAGTGGCACAATCACAGCTCACTGCAGCTTTGACTTCCTGGGTTTAGGCAATCTTTCTGCCCAAGCCTCCCAAGTAGCTTGTATGCCACCATGCTCAGCTGATTAAGAATTTTTTTTGTAGAGGCAGGGTCTTACTATGTTGCCCAGGCCAGTCTTGAACTCC